GATAGAACAACGAGACGGCGACATCAGATATATTATTAAGTCCTTGTCATTTGAAATGTTTCGTCGAACACGATGTTTAAATCATGTTAATTATCTCAAATGTGTTTATCGTGTTTTTTTTTTTTTGCGTAAATTTTTTACCGCTTATGTAACATGGATTTTTGATCTCTCGATTCTTAAATCCTCAATAACCACCTTATGATGTAAACATCTAATTTTAGGCTTCTTAACATTTGTAGGATAACATTGATTAAATATATTTACCAGTCTTTGCGGTTTTCGCGAGAGTCTCCACTCGTTTTCCTCGCATCTTATGTCTCCGCCTTGATATTTTAATCGCATTAACTTTAGGATTTAAATTATAATAAAGCCTCATCATCTCATCCATTTCAATTCTTTATATATCATAATTGACATGAATGTTAAAAATATCTGCAAAAATTAGAATCGAAAATTTGGCGAGTCTGAACAATGGTAATTTTAATTCTTCCGAAAATGTATAATTTTACAAGTCATCCTCTTACCACTTGATGAGAGCCGTGTGTCGACATCAATTATTCATTAATATATCAATCTCTCTCTCTCTCTCTCTCTCTCTCTAATCAATTATTCACTGCTTTTAAAGTAGTTTCTACCGAAATAACTTCGATCATTTAAAAGACGGATCCAAATGAATTTAAACACACTTTTTGTCGTTGTAAATTTGTTAAGAACGTGTCAAAAAGATTGTAAATAAGCCACATATCTCTGCCGTTTTCTTTACGACAATATATAAAGAATAAATCGACCGATTGATTCTCGGGAACCGAAACGAATATCAGAAACGAGCGGCGTTAGTTTTTAATAACGGGACTTGAAAAAGGAGATGTGAAATTACCGAGAGTTGCCCTCATCTTTTTGCGAGAGTTTGCCGAATGATTTCGATTGATAATCGTGCATTTTTGCTCGTTCGAAAGGGCAAAGGGACCTCGCGAGACAAATTGAACTTACGCGCCTCAGCATTCGAGATGCGATCCTTCAGGCATTATGCATCGGATGCTTTTTCGCAAATACCCACCATGCACCACGTTGGTCAACATTTCTTCCGCGCGGCATTCCGCGGCGAGGAATTAAAAGCTGTCTCGATAGAGATATTACCGAGCGAAGCTTATTCGGCAGATTTACTGTAGCGATTATCCCAATTAACCGCGCGCCCTTTCAGCCTCCTCTCGATCTTCAACTACGAGTTGAAGTGCCACCTGCGGATCAGTTCCCGCGGCGCGGTTTTTGATCCGCGTTACATTCAAGTAAGACGTTAAGTGCATCCCATACGTTTCCGGAGAGCATTACGACCGTCTCGCAAATTCCCATTAGCGAACCTACCTCTCATCAGCTTTCGTCGCTCCGGTGTTAAACGTCAGGCAGGTTTTTATCCGCGATCAGCCGCTCTGCTGAATTCGGCAGATTCCAAACGAAACTCCTTATTGTCAATATTACGTTCACGACTGAAACATATCCGAGAGGCATCTATTTATACTACATTACACAAGCATTGTCACGAATTTTATATATTATATTAATGTTACTATATTTCATTAATTTTTTTTAACTTGATATATTAAGTTTGAAGAAGTAAATGAAATAGTAATTTTTTTCGAATATTTATGCAATCGCGCAATATATTCACAAGGATGAAAATTTATTTCTCGCGAAGAATTGTGTCGTTTTATTATATTCGCAAAAATCAAGCATTAAACGTATACGTATTGTCTAAATAAAATCTGACGATGAAATACAATACGTATAAGATCCCGTACATTTTAGTCCGTTCACAAATACCTATTAGGTCTCATTCCTAAGGCTAGCCTTGTATCGGCGTCATCCTTTTGGACGTGTTAAGCGTCGGCCGACTTTTTCTCTCGATCGCTCGCCACGCCGTCGAATTCGGCAGATTCCAGACTCTGGCTTCTGCCCATTGTCGCCGTTCCTCCGCATTAGCCCGCGCAGTGTCGGCGCGGGAGGGACCGAGGAGATTAATTAGGGACGATGTTTTAGCGGCAAAAATTGGAATGATGAGATGGGAGGGGGAGCCCAGGCAAGAAGTGGCAGCATCAGCAGCCGCCTTAAGTCGCGCTAACTAACCCGGCAACACCACGCGACGATCGAATGGACCTCATCGCCCCCTGCCTGCAAGAACGTGCTACAAATTAAGCCCGGATCGGCAGAAACCATCTCGAAAATTTAGCCGTCGGCTGTTGCTCCCTACACTTCATCGTCTGTACGCTCGCGAACAGGGACGGATAGCAAAACTTTTCGTAGTCTGAATTTAATTCCCAAGTTAGGATCAAGAAGGACGTATATTTTTTTCTATGCTACATGTTGAAGCGAATCTAATGGATGATGTGAAAAAAAATGACTATTCTTATAAATAAAATATAGTGACGTATTTGTGTTACTTAGTAGTTTGGCAAGAGAAGATATATTTCACGAAAGCGTTGTCTCCTGAAATAATTGATTAATTTAAACACAGCCGAAGAACCGCATCGCGAAGAAGCACCGGGTCATTGTCCTCGTGGTGAGGAATGCTTGAATCTCGCATAGAGCGATGTCGATAAACGACTTTGAGTTCGAGACGACAAGGTTCGAAACGCGAATACGCGGCTCTCTCGCCATCGTTCGAACAAATCTCTCCTCTGGCAACGGCGACGACGATTGTCGCGGTATTTACGGTAGTCGTCCGTTGTCATCGCGTCATTTATTCTATTCACCGTGTATTTATTTTGTTGGTGATGTTTGGCTTGGCCAATTCCTCTCGTCCTATTCCGCGCCGGTATAGAAGACGGCCATCCCCGCCGTCTTCTCGTCGAATTTCTGTAATCGTTAATTTACAGTTATTTCCCCCTTCCCCCGTTTACATTTCCATCTACCGTCGCTGCTTCTATTTTCACGACAGACGAATTATTGGCATTCTCGCGATGAGCTGCGAGAATAGCCGCTGAACACGTCTGCGTGTTCTGTGTCTGTAGAATTTGCTATTATTTAAAGTTGAACGAAGAGTTATTTTCTTTTCTACGCCGACAGCTCTTACAGTGCGAGTAGATTGTAAGTAGAGAATAACTAATTATTCTCGCGGTTCCACAAGCTTGTGTCATTATTCAAATATGGAAGAAACCATTTTTCTTTCGGATAGAAAGACACAGCTTAATAAAGTTAGTATATAATCTATTATATATATTCCATCTTTTAAATCGTCTTGTTGCGCCAATCTTTAAGAGCCAATGTAAAAATAACATCTATTATATACGAAGAATGTGACTGTGAATTAAAATGGATTGTTAAAATATATTACGTCCACTTGGTGCAAGATTCCGGCGCGCCTGCTATTCATTCAGCGATAACCGCGGCTACTGTAATTTTTCTTTCCTCGGTCGATCGGCTGCGAAAGAAACGACGGGGCCTTCCTATCAGCAGGAAGTGCTCGGTGCGGCTTTTATCGATCGATCCGCCATGTCGATCGACAGACCGAGGCGCTAATGGGTTAGTCAGCCTATACACGAACAACTCGCTTCGTGCGAGTAGACCGTATGGAAGAGAGAATGGAGCGCGCGAAAAAATGTGTTCCCATAGGCTTCTATATATCTTTTATACATATACCTTATACCCCATCTATCTATCTACCTTGTACACGTGTGCAAATCGTTCGCAAGTTGCGTACACGTGCTATACGCTACGCGCGAGCAGTGTCGGCTATCGCTCTGCGGAGACATAATCGCGGGTTAAGAATAATAAATAGAGATAGACACGGGCGTATATACAAGACCGCGGGGATGTGTCTTTTGCGGAGATTATTTCGATGACTTATAGGAGCGATCGTTCAGGCTGCCAGGTTTAAATAAAACCGCACATGTATGTATATATATATATCGGTCTTGATTTTCGCGTTTAAAACTAGTCGATTCTGTAACGCGCGGCCGGGCGTGGCGTATATTTGCGTCGTTGTCCGTCATATAAGATATATTCCTCCCGGCGATATGTATCTTGAGTCGAGCGAGAAAGAGAGAGAGAGAGATCGACTCTCCTTGGAACGCTGTCCCTCCGTCCGAACGATATTTCGAGTTACAGCGAGCGATTAGTTAAGGACGGATATTAGTCGGCGGCACGAAGCGTAGCTCGTTTGTGTTTCGCAAGATTTCATTCAGTCGCACGATTGTTTCGAGCGTCGAACTCGATCTTTCGTTATGATTTATCGCGCCGGCTGCCGCACAATGAGGCAATTAGACCCTGATTCTTTATCTAATGGAAAATGATAAATAAATTACACGTGCGCCGACCAACGTGTCTCTATCTCTCGTTCGCGATATCTTTCGATCGAATTAGGAGGAACCGACATTTTTCAGCCTTTGCCTTGGATTCAAAGTATGCTACTTACCCGCGGCGAGTCTCGACTTTTATCTCCGCTCGCATAAAATCATGGTCGAGAGAGAAGAATGTTAATATCCGTTCCGCGCGCAGAGTGTGTGCGGAAAGCGACTTTTTCCCCTCGTCTGAAACGCTCTTTAGCGCCGTCGGGCAATTAGCGCGGAATTAGCCGTGCGTTCGCGCGATCTTTTTATTGCGCGTTGCGTATATAAAGTCATTCGGCGCGGTTCTTACCGGAGCGGAGGCTCAGAGAACCGCGCATACCGTGACATTCAGACGAGCCATGACGAGGCACAAAGCGTAAATATTGATATAATGACCGTGCGCTATTATATCGATACTTATAGTCATTAGAAAGTCCAACATAATCTAGAGATAAAAATACAATACAATACAAATATCTTTAATATCGAAAATTAAAAATTAAAAAACTAGATATGAAAATCCCAATTTTCGACCGTGTCTGATATTATTAGACATTTAGAGAGTAAAGAAGAAATATAATCTACAAATTGTCCATTCTCTTTTCTAAATTTACTTGAACTTTATTAAGAATGAATTTGGCCTTTATTAAATATGAATGTGTCTATTTTCTGTTTCAGATGCAATGGGTAAGTGAATTTTTCTCCAGCCAAGTCAGCATTATCGGGTAAGCGTGACAGGATTGAGACAATTCTTTCGGAATGCAGAAATCTCGTATATAAGCTGCGTGCAAGTTTAATTATCGCAATTAACGAAGCGGTTCGTTAGAGATTAGTAACTCCCGGCCGAGAAAAATTCAAGTTTCCGGTTCTGCGTAATCGCTCTTGTTCGAGAAAACTCGCCGGATGAATGATCGTCGTAATCGCCCGGTTCGTTTACAGCGTTCACGTGCGTGTTGCGAGATTACCGTCGTTGATACGAAAACGTGATTGCATGCACGTGTGAACGCGCGCGATACGGTCGCGGGTGTAATTAAAAATGGTTTACGCGAAACTTCAGGATGTTAAGAGGTAAAAATTAAAATTAAGCTCTCACACACATGAAATTAGTGCAAATGTAAAAAGAGAGAGAAAGAAAAAAAAATTTGTTTTTAAATTCTCGTTATTTTTAATTCCGACCGAATTTTTATTTCGTCGTTCGCTATAATAGTTACGACGGAATTAATTGAGCGCGATTAAATTCGGACACTGAGCGTAAAATGTGTAAAGGCAATGGGGACAAAAATATATTTTAAGCCGGATATATACAAGCGAAAAGGAGGAGTTTTCGATTCGATAATAATCCTTTTAATGGATTATGTCGATCGACACGGCGACAAGGCTCGGTGAGAAGATCTGGCGTTCAGTTACGATCTGTTACGAGCGCGCAACTTGGCCATTCTCTCTTACATTCCTTTTTTTTCTCCCGATTCTCTCTTGTGCGTCGCAATAACGAGGCGCTTCGGCTTAATTAGATTAATTAGATTGCAGGCAAGAGAGGCGGATCGCGCGGCTTTCTGAGGATAACCGCCGTTAACCGCGCGTTATCGTTGTCGAAAGATCCCATCTCTTTTACGCGAATTTCGTAAACAAACGCAAAACTCCGCTCGTTTTAAAGCGCGGAATATATACAAGTAATTTGGGATTTATTTTGCCTTTGAAAAGACCGATTTTTATTTTCGCTTTACTCTTCAGAGCTAATGGTTTCTTACATGTTACGTGAATTAATTATGCTGCACTCGTTACGTGTATTTTACATTCGTTATACGCAGTATATATTCATTCCAGTAATCATTAACGCAGTATTTAATGCATAGATGGCGAAGTCCGATGTTCAAGAATAGCCTATAAATATTAATGCTTTACGCTACCTTTTACTGTGGCAAACCAGGTAATGACACGACGCTGGTAATCTCGAAGAATAGGAAACCGTACGGATGAACGACGTGCACGGGTAATCACAATCTTGAACGAGTTGCGCTCATCTTTCTACGGGTAGTCTTTAACAACTCGTGCAGCTATCATTAATCCTTTAGCCGGCAACACAAAAACTCGTATAATCAATCTCCGCGAAATACTGGATTATTATTACAGTCATCTCTCATTAATGCTTTATTGCCGTCCAATCAGATCGATTTATGTCGCTGATGTATAATTTTAGCATTACCGCTTAATCGCTTAGTCGTAAAATTTGCGATGTCAACGATATACAAAAACATCGTTAGCAACTCGAGTTCATCAACACAATGTACGTGTTAAAGAAAGCGCAAATGTATTTCGGACATTCTTTTTCATGTATACGGTCGATTTCATTTATCTCAATTTAGACAGATATTTGACATATATCGTCATTAAATTTTGCCCGCCGAAAAGATATACAGCGCGAAAGAAATCTCGTCTCGTAAGAGACGTTCCTCCATTGGCGATTCGGCTCATCAGCCGATGATTATCGGAGAGAGGCGAAACGAAGGCGCGATCAAGTTCTTCTTCTATAGTTTAGTCGAACGAACCTTCTCTCTCGCGGTCGCGGCAAAAACCTTCCCGCTGGCCCTACTTTTTGGTCGTTAATTAGTTGCATTTTTTTACGATCGCGCGCACACGTGCAGAGCGAGCCGACGAAATGAACGGGGAGGAAAAAGATAATCATGGAAGAAGAGAGAGAGAGAGAGAAGCGCGCGGCGTCGAGGCCTCGAGTGAACTCTGAAGCCTCGTCGCGCATAATGTTCGGCATTGTGCTCCTCTCGGCTTCGCCTCCTTTCGTCCTAGAATACACGTGAGTCCTTTGTCCACGCGACGAGAAAAGCGTAGCACGAAATACGTACACTCGCCACGTCGCGGGCATCACCGCGACGTTTAAAGTGTAATTACCGGTCGTGACTTGAAGTATTCATTAACGCCCGCGGCGGCGAGAGGCCTCTTATGGGAACACGGCAATTAGATAGACCGTTCGAGTGTGCATTCGTCGTTGAATTACAAACGGTATCCGAACAGATCGGCCCGCTACTAGATGCTGGAAATCATCAGGAAGGTGTCGATCAATGATTGCGCCACGCGAGTCGACGTTTTGTTAATATCTCAATGTGGAAGATGATTCAATTCGCTCTTTTGTAACTAACAGTATCGGTATCGTTTGCTTTAGAATATCCCGACAGGGCTACTCTTTTCCACACGCATTTTGCGCGATGTTAGATAAGCGAAGAACGTAAGGAAATTGAAGGAGGAGTATACTAATTTAATACATGCGTTCTCGCGTTCGACGATACGCATGAAATTAATTTACGCCGACGGATCGTGTTCGAGGGAATATTAATTTCGCACCGTCCATCTTCCCTTATAAAAATTATGATCATGAGCGTGTATTACAAGCGGCTTAAATTGAGCGCGGCGGTGAATCATGCGTGGATGGGCGGTTAATTAAAAAATTCGGTAGTCGTCGTGAAAGGTTGTGGAATGAAATTTTTGGGGGACGAGTGGTCACGGTTAACGACGCGTGTTTATACTTATTGGGTATCAAGGCCGATTGGATCCGGCGAAACGACGGCGATTTCGGGGGAAGGTCCATCCGATAAGATAAAACGACTTGTGCGTTGAGATGTTGTTGCCCCTTTGCTTTTCCCTTGCGTCCCTTTTTACGATCGCTCGTACGGGAATACCTTCCTTTTCGCGTTTTTGTGTTACACAAATATATACGCATTCCCTTCTAAATGAGCGTTAATTATTCGCAATCGTTATCTCGACGATTACTATCTCCTTACCTTCTTTCGCGCGCAAATTTCTAATGAACGTCCGCCGATTAAAATTTGTATTCATGAAATAGATATGGTTTCATGGGAGACGGTCGCGAAATGAAAACGTATTGAATTAATTCAGCATAACTAGAATTCGCAACGCGACCGGTTGTCGGCGGAATCACTCGTATATATCCCCGTATCCACTTTCCGCGATAATCTGTATACTTATGCATATTAAACGAACGCATCGAAGTCGCCGTTGCCTTCGCGAGAGACTAGCGGAGTGGATAAGATAAGAGGCCCTTACTTTTTCGATTATTGGCCGTTCTCGTTATCTCTGAGGATTCTTTGGCACCTCGTTTCGTGACGCAGAAGCCTCCTCCAGCTGTTGTCGCACGATCCCGAACGGGCTCATAATGGCGCGTTTGTCGGATCGTCTCCGACAATTAGAATGCAAATCTGCAGCGTATGCATATATACACGAGCCGGATCCGTAGCCGATCGCGGCTTTATCCATCGGATATCGGAGGCCCGACAAGGTCCGCTTGTCCCGGCCACTTTTGCGATGCGGCCCGTCGATCGGACCCCGAAATTCGACGCCTTTTATGGCCCGTTATTCCGCGAATCGATGAGAATAAGAGCTCGAGAGCGACGCGATAACGGCCGAATACATGCTCGAACGGATGCCATCTCGATGGGGTCCTCGTATTGCGTTGATTAAAATTAAATGCCACATTCGAAAGTTTTACAAGTCCACGATGCGCCATTCGATAACCCTCCTTTTCTCCCTCATCTCCTCGTCGCAATAGGTGGTACGAGATGCAAACGAATGAATCTTTCAGTATGTGAAATCAACGTTTTGCACGCACTCGATAATAAAAGTGTTACGGCATCGTTTTTTGGTTCTCTCTCTCTCTCTCTCTCTTTCGATGGCGTGGTAGTGGAAGAAGCCAAAGTACAAAAACCGTAAGTGCTCGGGCGCGCGCTCGGAGATAGAATTTCTTACGACCAGAAATACGACAGTATTAAAGTCGGTTTTACACCGTCCCGGAATGGCGGGAACGAGCCGGTTAACGTCGATCGCGGCTATACGCCAGGATTTCCCTTACATACATATTGTGCTCGATTCCTCGGATTTACCTCTAATAGCGCGAGGGCTCCTCCCTCTCACTCTCTCGGACTCTCTTTCTCAACCACAGTTTCTCGTGTAACGCACGTCGAGGGAAACGGACTCGAACTTATCGAAGCTTTCTTCTCCCTTCAGTTCAACGGTGAGAATGAGAATGGATTTTTTTCTTTCTCTTTTTCAGCGACTCCTTCCGGCGTTTCCTTCCGTCTTTGTGCGAGCTCGTTGTATCGGTTTCACGTTTTCGCGACGACGGCGTCTCTTTGCCAGTCAGACGATTCCGTAACGTCGTCGTACGGTCTGCGGTCGCCCGACAAATAGATTACGTGCTCGCGAAGGGTATTCTTCGTGATGGGGCGCTCCGTCGTCCGCCCTTCCTTCGTCCCTTCACACATGCCACTCACGTACTCATCCGCGTTCCGGGTACGTCGTATCCGGCAAGAGCCGTCTCTCTCGCCCGACGCGTTCTTTATTCCGTTTTCCCTTTCTCGGGACGCTCTCCTCTCCCAAAAATTGCAGCGCGTTAGCACGAAATCCACTAACCATTCCATTATTAAATCTGTGTCCGCATTATACGAGAGTAGGGAGAGGGATGGTGGCATCGTCTCGTCTGCATTAAAATTCACATCATGCCGGAACCGTCGAAACGATGAAATGCGGCCTCCTCGTCGATATACGCCGCAACGGATTACGCGTAATGACTTTATCCGTGCATCGCGCAATTAAGCGCATCGCTCGTCGATATAATATGCGCGCGCATGTCTCTCGATTAAGAAATTATTCTTTAATTTATT